AAAGAGAAACTTGAAAAGGCTTCCGCTGAAGAAAGCGAGGGCATTTTCAACATAAGTGATAACAGTGGATCAAAACACATCCCATAAAAGAGGGGAAAATCCCATTGTTCACCCCTGGAGGTTGTTAGGGCCAGCCATTATTTGTCGTTCTGTAATTCCTGCGATAAGGTGGGGGTGGGGATTGAGTACTTACTTATCTTCCCTACCCTGCATGAAAAGTGTTTCAGGGCCGCCCTGGTGGTGCAGGGGGTTAAGCACCCACAGTATGAAGCCATCCCAAGCCTCTGCAGCACGAGTTTGATCCCCGACCGGCCAGGGAGCAGCTCACATGGTGAGGCAGACCTCCCCTGCCTCTCCTGCTGCTCCCCTCAGCGGTGTATTTCAGTCAGTCTGCCTGTTTTGCTCCCCACTCTGTCTCTGGTGAATCCTCTCACCCCCCCCACCCTTGTCTCTGGCCTGTACCCCAGCTCTTGCGTGCATAAATAAATAAATCTAGGGAGAAGAGAAGAGAAGGGAAGAGAAGGGAAGAGTTGAGTTTCAGGGGAACCAAATGGTTGCAAAGGGAAGTTCCTCTTTATTAAAAAAAAGAAAATCATAATCCATCATGGCAGACAGAATGTTAGAAAAATCACCATTTCTCCACCCTTGATGAAATAATAGGTCTATGCAGCAGCCATAAAAAGAAGCTAAAGCTGGGCCTCCCTGGTGGCATAGGAGTTAAAGTCTCAGCTCTACCAAGCCATTGCCAGCCACTGTGGTATGAGTTCGATCCCCGGTCAGGGAGCAACCCATATGGCTCAGCAGACCTCTCCTGTCTCGCCCCCTGCTCCCCTCAGCAGCGTGTTTCAGTAGATCTGCCTGTTCTGCTCTTTACTCTTGTCTCTTGTGAATCCTCTCATCCCCTGCACCTCTGGCCTACACCCCAGTTCTTGTATGCATAAATAAATAAAAAAAGAATCTTAAAAAAAAAAAAGGAGGAGGAGGAGACGCTAAAGCTGTTGTGTGGAAGACTGATAAGAACTTACAACTAAATGAATCAAACACCCTAACTAATACTGGAATGTAGGACAAGCAATCATCACATTCTTTGCTATGCCCGGAGTAGGAGGAAGTATAGAGCATCACCTCCAAAGTATTGCCTAAATTGAGGCTCCTCAGGCGCAAGGGATTAAGACGCAACCTATGAGGCTATCCGCAGCCACTGCGGCACGAGTTCGATTCCCGGCCGGGGAGCTACCCACATGGTACAGCAGACCTCTCCTGACTTGCCCACTGCTCCCCTCAGCTGTGTGTTTCAGTTAGTCTGTGGTGTATTCGCTCACCCCCCACACCTCTGGCCTGTACCTCAGTGCTTGTGTGCATAAATAAATAACTTAAAAAAAAAGTAAGTTGATGCTTCTCAGACTTCTTGGTTGTGTGACCACTGTGCACTTAAAAATATATGAGGACCCCAAAAATCTGTGTGTATGTGGTTATAGCTATTGGTTATAGAACTTAAAACTGAGATGTCTTAATATGCCTTAATTCATTCAAAAAGAAAAGTTAATGCAGGGCCTCCCTGGTGGCGCAGTGGGTTGAGCACAGCGCTGTGAAGCTGTCGCAGCCTCTGCAACACAGGTTTGATTCCTGGCTGGCCAGGGAGATGCCCACATGGCCCGGCAGACCTTTCCCGTCTTGCCCGCTGCTCCCTCAGCAGTGTATTTCGGTCCATCTGTCTGTTCTGTTTCACTCTGTCTCTGGTGAACCCTCTCACCCCCCACACCTCTGGCCTGTACCCCAGTTCTTGTATAAAAATAAATAAATCTTAAAAAAAAAAAAAAACAGTAAAAAAAAATGTTAATGCAAAGACTGGCATTTTCCAAATGATTTTGCAAATCCCTTTGGCATCTGGAAAGTAGGCGTCAACTGGTGCTCACACCAGTTTGTGCATTCAGTATGTTGTGGTGTTTTGTTTGATCGGTAGTTGTAAAATGTAGAGTTTTAGTTGCAAAATGTAGTCACCTTTGCAGACTGAAGTTGTTCGTCTTGGGATGAACCAAGACCCACTAAGGTGTGTTCCTTAAATTAGCTCCTGTGTGAAATTTGAAACCCTATCCACGAACTTTTCTTGGTCTGTACTTAAGTTGGGGGGGCTGTTGTGTGCCATGAACAAATCTGTTGCACTGCAAGATGTGGTAATAGTGGGAAAGTAACATTCCCTAAAGTTATGCAGACCTTCTTCTGGTTTTCCTTGAAGTCACAGACTCACTTTGTTGATTTTCAAGAATACATACTACCAAGTCTGAGTAACTAACAGGTTGTCTTTCAGCCATTCTTTTCAAGTGCAAATGACTTGATGAAAACAGTGGCCATTTCACCTCAACACAAGCCTGTCTTGTTGTTTTAACTGACTGTCAAACTTCCTTAGGTAGCAGAAATGTTTTTGTTGCTTCCTGCGCATCCCACAGAATATGAAAATGAGTGTTCAGGAACCAAGATTTAGTCAAATAATAATTCTTACTGCTTTATCAAGGACTTTCTTAAGTGAAACTGGCTTTTCTGCTTTGTGGTCAAGAATATATCAAGTGTTATCAGTCCATGATAAGGTGCCAGCATTTTACCCCTCCCTTGCTTTTGCACCATTAGTGCAAATCGCCACACAGGAGAAAAGGCAAATAACATATCACTATGAAAATTGAAACCTGATGTCTGCAAAACTGGGTGTACTGCTGGGTTTTGTAATTCAAGTTGGAATCTAAACTTTCTGCTTTCACTTTGGGTTTTTGTTTTTTGTTTGTTTGTTTGGTTGGTTGGTTGTTTTATTTTTTTATTTTTATTTTTTTAAAGTAAATATATACGTTCTTATTCATTTTTCTCTCAGGTGTAATCCCCATAAAATTCCCACCACCAAGTCACCTGTGCACCATCACCATCGTCTCCTGTGCTTTTCCCTCCCCTGTTTTGTTCCCTCTCCCTCCCCTCACCTGCTGTATGTCTCCAATTTATGATGTCTGCTAGTTTGGTCTTTTTTTTTTTTTTTTTTTTCTGTCTTTACCCCTTGTTTGCTTTCCCTATAGTCCTCCTACAAGTGAAACCATCCGAGATCTTTCCTTTTTCCCTCTGATTTACTTCACTGAGCATAATCCCTTCCACCTCCATCCAGGTTGTGCGAATGGCATTGAGCTTATCTTTTTTGATTGCTGAGTAGTATTCCATTGTGTATATATACCACATCTTTCTTGGAACAGTCACCTGTTTGGGGGCATTTGGGTTGTTTCGATATCTTTGCTCTTGTAAATAGTGCTGCAATGGGACACAGGAGTGCAGGTTTCCTTTTGAAAGCTGTGTGGTCCTCCGCACAGCTTCCCATAGTGCTTTAACTTTGAATGAGTATTTAAAAATCACGATAAGACTTTTGCCTACTGAGACAGCTTTTAATGTGTTTGTAAAGACGGTCTTATTTTGAAGGAAATAGAAGATTTTTGCTTGTAGGAAGGCTTGCTAAGTTTCATGCTGAAACTTGCCAGTTGAGATCAAAGTCTAGAATTTTGCCATTTCTGCATTTGCATTTTGTTATCTCCCTGGATATTTGTTGATGGTTACTAACACCTGTCTTCCCCCTTCTAGATATCGCTGATGTTTCTGTCAGACAGTGTCAACAGAGATATGAGGACATGAAAACTCGTTCTCGCGGTAATGAATATATTTTCAATGCAGAATTTATAACTGCCGATTGTTCAAAGGTACAGGGTTTTGTAAGATTGTTCACTTAATTTTTTCATGTTTTCATTTGGGTAAATGATGTGGTATCCTCTCAACTGGAAAGTCTGTCTCGATACATTTCCTTAAATGACCCACTGGGTAGTGGGGAAGTCTTTTGCTTGTAATAGTTTGAACTTTTGAAATCACGGGCTGCTTTTTTGTTTGGAGGAGGTGTATTTTCCAGTATTTTGAAATAAAAGTGTTCTGTTCACCTTGTAATGTAATAGGGTAGTTTTCCAACATGCCAGAGTCTGCTTTTTCCCCACCTTCCACCTGTTTCTGAATCTCTAAGCATGACTGAAGTCTGAGAACTACAGGGGAATGGGGAAAGCCCCACCTTGAACTTGATGTTACTTAGTATACTCATCAGCTTACTGAACTATCACAAGGTATCTTTAACCCTATCACAAGGTATCTTTAACCCAATCACAAGGTATCTTTAAACATTTTTGGTTGCGGTTTTGAAAATGAGAAGGAAGAGTGGCTGAGTATAGTGCTAGAAGGCTGGAGAGCTGGGAAAACCATTTTGGGTATTGACAAATGCATCCTACAAGGCCAGCTTTGTGGTTTTCTTAATCCCAAGTTAATGATGTGTCTTTTGACTTTTGACTTGCAAGTAAAACCGAGTAAAAGGATCACCTCCTTGAAAGGTCATATTTGATTGGTGTATTTTTAAGCATGCCTTCTGATTCCCTAGTTTTTAAAGTCACTGTGAAGCCAGATAACAGAATGACTCATTCTGACCTTTCTTGTAGGTACCGAATGACAGAAGGACAGATTCAATGTTAGGGTCTTAATTCTAGACACTAGTTCTCTAGAAAAAAATATGTAAATAAACCGTGTTGCACGTAGCTTCAAGATCTTAACCCATTTTAATCTGTTTCAGGAACTTTTGATTGACAGATATCGAGACCCAGAAATGTGCTTTGACATCTGCAGTTGCCAGTTTGTCTGTCACTACTCATTTGAGACCTATGAGCAGGCTGACATGATGCTCAGAAATGCTTGTGAGAGACTCAGTCCTGGAGGCTATTATATCGGTACCACTCCCAATAGCTTTGAACTGATGTAAGTACTTTAAAGTATAGTGCGGTTTATTAAATACTCAGGATTAAGCAGATTTGAAAGTAGCAAATATCTGTTAGATAGAGTTTCTAAAGTACGCCATGTTGAGCTTACAAGGACTGAACGTCGATAGTGTATTTGCATAGAGACGCAATTGAAACTTTAAGTTCAAAAAGCCAGGTTTACCAGTGAACTTTTAAAACCTCTGACTCAGTTGAAGACTGATGTCATGTGGAGCCAGCGTGTATTGCCCTTGGCCAAACTGCAGAGCAGATACTGAAACACAGAGACTTAACCACCTGTCGTGACAGCAAAACGTTCTTCCAGTCAAATTTTATTAGTGAGATGATGATCTTCTGGTATGCAGCTTCATAAAAAAATGGCTCGGATTCCATGAGAAGGCTAAGCAGCTGTCTCTTTGAGATTGTGGCCGTGGGGATTTTTCATGTGCGTGAACTGATCAAAGTAAGTCTGAGCTAGTAACGGTTTTAATCTTTTCCTTTTGATTTGGGGGACAACCCTTACAGAAGACGCCTTGAAGCTTCAGAAACGGAATCATTTGGAAATGAAATATATACTGTGACATTTCAGAAGAAAGGAGATTATCCATTATTTGGCTGCAAATATGACTTCCACTTGGAAGGTGTTGTGGATGTCCCTGAATTCTTGGTCTATTTTCCTTTGCTAAATGAGTAAGAATGTTATTTAATCTGTTACCATTCTCTTGTTTGTCGTAGGAGGGAAAGCAAAGGAATATTGGGGGGGGGGGGAAGAATATTTCTGCTCATTCCTAACTTTAAATGGGACTTAAAAAGTATTGTAATTTAGAAAGGGGGTAGGGGGGCTTGGGTGGGTTGTGTTGGGGTGGAGGAACTAACTTTAAATCCAGGGTTTGTGCCATAGGTCTCTCAACAGTTTACGTACTTAAGTCTTTTTCATTTCCGGAATTATTTTATCCTGTGGTTAAAAAAAGAAAAAAAAAAAAGCCAACCTTTGGCATAAAATACCTGACACTGCAAATGACAAAAGATTCCCCCCGTTTGGAAGTAACTGCTAGTAACTTTGTCAATAGAAAGTGAGTCTTCATCAGGCAAATGTCCTCCTTTGACAGGGAATTAGTATTAAAAGTTGTCCCATATTTCGCTATAGCTGTGAATTTGCCTGTGTCCCACAGGCAATGTTGAATAAGAGTCCTCATTCAGGAATGTGTTCATTCATGCACCTGAATTCCTAGGAGCCCTGGCAAACCACAGACCTGGGAAAAGTTGGGCTAACTGAGTTTTCCAGACCTGTGAGACTCTTTGGTCTTGGGGATCTCCATGAGATGGGAGCAGAAGAATGCACTTAAACGTAGGCTGCGCGACACTTGACCAAACTTGATTTCCTAAAACAAGTCAAGTTTGTTTTATGAAATGAAAATCCTTTTTTTCCTGAGGAATGGTAGAAGGTTATTTGAATTGTGTCTTAGACAGCTTGTAAATTTATGGGCATAGGATGTTCAGGAGTTCTACAATATATGGAGATTTTATGCAGTAATGTAAGACAGTTCAGTGTAGCATGTGACATGATGCATAACACCCACAAATTATAAACCTAAGCCAACACTTAAGTATTTAAACATCTTTTTTCCCTTTAAAATCAGTAACCTTCTGGGAAATGTTACTGCTCTTCACCTCTGTGATAGAATGAGTGTTGTGGGTGTCTTGTTTGACGTGCTTGTATGACAGCTTATTGGTTTTTATTTTCCTTTTAACAAGGTTTATAATTTTAGCATGCCCATTATGATAAGGAGTGAAATGAAAGTTTGTTTTTTTGGTCCATAATGCTCAGCCAGCACTCAAAACTGCCTAGTGATGGTGAGTGTATAAAGTCACACGTCCTCACTTAACTATGTAAAGTTTTAAAAAATTATTTACTGAAACAGGTATTCATTTGGTGAAATAGAATCTCAAACCTGTGTAGGGATTTTTAGATGCCCTTTTGTCATTTCGTTGAGAAACTGAACAAACATATGATTAACTTGTATAGGGCAAACCTGCTCACCATTTGAGTTCTTTGTATTTATTGGTGTAACACTTGCCTTTATGTCTGAAGCCTCATTTTGGAGCCTTAGGATAGCAAATGAACTGCCCGGAACAGAAGAGGCTTTTGTCTTGCTCAAGTCTTTCTGAGGAGGGCTGACTCAAATTCCAGGGTATCTCTCCATACATAGGTCTCCTACACGCAAATCCCAGTGGCCCTGGGATGTCTCCCCTCACCCTGTCGCCTCACAGCACTTCCCCTTGTATGCTCTCAGGGGTCCCTCCCCATTCTTCCTCTCCTCATTAGCCTCTGTCGGAAACCATTTCCCCAGACTCCCTCCCTTTGGCAAGCATGGGGAAAACAGAGAAGCCTACCAGGGAGACCCAGGGTAATTGAGGATTTCAGCAGGCCGCGTCTGTGAGGAAATCGTGTTTGTGTTCACATCTGAAGGATGAGTAGGCAATGGCCAGGTGAAGACTGGAAGGAAGAGTGTTTTCGCACCTGGGGGGCAATCTGTGTGTGAAGGCCCTGAAGTGACAGATAGCCTGCTTGGCTAGTTCGAGGTGGTGAAGGAAAATCACTGTGACTGGGACTTAGGGAATCAGGGGTCCACGTGGCTCAAGATGAGGCAGCAAGCGGCCCTTGTTACTCGCGTGCCCGAGAGGCCCTGTGACAGGCTTTGGGATTGCATCCTAAGAGTGCTGGAGAGCCAGTGAAGGGTGTTGCGGCGGGAAATGACTGACTAGGTGTGTAGGTTTGAAAGCTTCATCTGGCTGCAGCTGGAAACTGTGCTGAGGGGGAGCATAAATTTGGAGGCAGAAAAACAAGCCACCGTTAACAGCTGAGGGCTGATGGCGATTGAAGGAGAATGGTGTAAAAAACGGACCTACCTGGACTATGTTGTACAGGTAAATGATGATGTGTTGAATGCAGAGGGTAGAGCGGGGCGGGTAGCTCTCATGGAGAACCCCGAGGTTTCTGGCATGAATCGCTAGGTGGATTTACTGAAATAGCAAAGATTGGCAGGAGAACAAACCAGTGGGTTCAGCCTTAGATGTGGAAAGGAAGAGAAAGCCCGCGACACATCCTGGTGGAGATTTCTAGTAAGCATTGGACTAGATGAGTGACGAAAGAGCTGAGCCCCAGAGAGCTGTGGGCATGCTGTGTAAAGCCAGGGAGTGAAAATGAGTAAGGTTCTGAGCCAGACTCTTCAGAACCTTGAGGGGCCAAGCAGCCCCAGGTGAAGGCTAAATTAATAGCGTATCTTGCCGGGGTATGCAAGAGGTGAAACACTTACATTTTAAGAAGGAAGTTGGCAGCTGTCTTCAAAGCCACGGTTAGAGATCAGGTCAAATAGGATGGCATCAGTAGAAGAAAGCCTTCATCATCCTTCCTGACCATTTGACTTTAGTAGGGTTACCTGTGATCCGTGGAGAGTTAACAGAGACATTTCTTCATAGGCCTGGTTACTGGTATGTTACTGCTCATTCATTTTGCGTCATGCTGTATTGAATTTTTAAAGGAGATGGTATTGCTCAGTTAAGCACAAAAGATGTTGCTGTGGTGTGGAAGTAAGCTGTTGAGGAATTACCAGTGCTCTGGAAGCCTTTGCATTAGTTTTTGTTTTGTGTTGTACAGAATGGCAAAGAAGTACAAAATGAAACTAGTCTACAAAAAATCGTTTCTGGAATTCTATGAAGAGAAGATTAAGAACAGCGAAAATAAAATGCTGTTAAAACGAATGCAAGCCCTGGAGGTAAGTCTTGAGAAAAGGTGCAAAAGTTCCAGGTCACAGCAGGACTGTTTGGCTATTTTTCAGGTTCTTTTCAAAGCCAGGTAGACACTAAACATTTATATAAATTACACGAGCTATTTACAGCTGCCCTCTGGATCTTCAGCACCGAGGGCAGAGCTTGGTAGAGCAGCTTACCCTAGCAGGTACTACATAAATACAGGATAGATGGTTGGATGGATGGTCGATGGATAGTGCTGACCTCAGATTCCATTTTCTAGATAGTCCATCTTTCTAGATAGCGCTGTTGGCATATAGGACTGGCTAATTCTCTGTTGGCAAGGCAGGGGTGGGGACAGGGTCGGGGCACCATATTGTATGCACTTCAGAGGATCAGCATCCCTGTCGTCTGCTAGATGCCAGTAGCACCCCTGTCCACCTAGGAGAGAGCCCAGAAATGTCTGAGACAATTGCTAGCTATCCACTGGGGTGCAAGGTCACCCCAAGTTGAGAACCACTTCTTTTCAGTAATGTCCTTTGGTTACGGCAGTAATTTAAAACCTTCCTGGCGAGGGTCCAAGAGAGGCTCGTGCCATGCATAATTCTGTTCTGTGGTGACGGTCCAGCAAGATGCCAGTCTGTTCATGCTGGAACCTGCTTTAACTCCTGGACTCCTCTGTGCTTCCCCTTTTGCCGCGGTGAAGGGCACCTATACAAGCTTTAAACTCTGCACAGCCATTGATTATGGTTTTTTGGTTTGTTTGTTTGTTTTTATGTCTTGACCCCTTTGTTACTGATCAGCAGACTCTTAGTAATGAGATGCTCACTGAACTTCTTAATAGAATTTGTGTAATTTAGACTTTTTTAAAATACTCCTATTTAGCCTCGTAATTACCCCCATGAAGTAACACAGCAGCCATTCCTCACACTTTCAAATGGGCGTTATGAAGTTAAGAGGAGATAAATGACTTGTTCAAGGTCACGTGGCTGTCAACTTGCAGATTTTTCTTCCGTTTTTATAGGTGGCGTTCACATAAAAGTCCTTTTGGGTCCAACACCCCACCCATCCCTCAGTGGACGCGACCTCCTTAAGTGTTCAAATTGAGTTTTGCAACCAGCAATCACTAAAATGTTACAGTCTTTATTGGTTGTATTCTCGTGTTTTAGAATTAGAAATGTTTGTGTGTGTTTTATAGGAGAAGAGGCTCACTCTTGTTTGTTTCTAGGAAAAGGGAAAGCTAGAGATAGCGTAGCTCCTTAAATTGCCACAGGTGCACACCATTCATACATCATTGTTACCTGGCAGTGCTTTGCATGTAAAGTGATCAGTTGGTAAGATGTGGTTTCTTCAAGGAACTCGAGGTACACTGAGGAGCCGAGCATGCGAGCAAACCAGTACAGTGTGAAAACTACAGTAAAGAAGGAATTCTGCAGTGGGGGTATGAAAGGGCCCTTGGAGAAGAAAGTTAGGCAGTGGGAGTGAAGGCAGAGAAACATGAGAGTGGGGGTGATTGAGGAAATCTACTAAACTTTCAGCATTTCTTTAGCACAACAGCTCTCCTGTGTTCCTTCTCCCCCTTCGTCCGGCTTTGAGGATGTGGAGGGACGATGAGACCGGAGGTGGAATGAGCTATCAGGGATGCTGTTGCTTTAGTCCACGTCAGATATTGAAATGGACCCACTCTGTCATGTTTGCTTAAAAAAGCGTTTTTTTGTAAAGCTGTCAGACAGCAGCTGGCAGAGAGTTGCAGCAAGAAAACCAGGAAAACAAAACCGCATGGTCTGCTCTTGTGGTGCTGTGAAACAGAGGGAAAGGAGAATGGAAAGACTGGCACTATAGTTATAAAGTCCCGACACCTGTGTATTTCTGAGAGAGAGAGAGAGAGAGAGAGAGAGAGAGAGAGAGAGAGAGAGAGTGTGTGTGTGTGTGTGTGTGTGTGTGTGTGTGTGTGTTCGTTCTCACCAGGGAACAGGTCTGGCAAAGTTACTGCCTTAGGCGGAGATACTTACCAGGGTATGTCTATTTTAGCAAGTTTTATTAAAAACAAATCAGTTTTGTGGCTTTACAGTCTTAGATTGCTTGGTGTTTTAAAGTGATCGGTAGAGGAGAGGAGCCTGATGTCCGGTGATAGACAGATAATGAAATGACGGAGCCCTGCCCTGGCCGGTTGACAAGCAGAGGTACAACAGGGTAGTTTGGCAGCCATTCATTGGCGGTAGAGTTTTGAAGCTTTGCGATTGTGATGACCCCACAAAGACTGAGATTGAAGGTTTAGAACAAACTCAGTGATAGGCAGTAGTAAGTGATGTTCTGTATATCCCTTGCGATCGGTTATGGTAACAACATGGACGTCCAAATCACTAATTGTGCTTTACTGTGAGGTCTTTCTTGAGATGATGGGCGGGGGGCAGGCGGGGGCGGGGGGTGGGATAGGTGATAAGATACCTTTCTTGGGTCATTTTCTTAAAACCTCACCAGGCAGACCTGCACTTCAAGTGGATCCTTGCTAGCTGTTCTGTTGTAATAAGACAAGGAAAGAAGTTATAATGAGTATATAACCTTGAAACAGGGCACTAGGGGTCCTGCAGCAGATCAGAAGGACAGTGCCTGGTGGATGACAGGTCACTGCCCGGGTTCTTCACCCGTGCACACAATTGCAAGGCCACTGCGGCTCAGGGAACAACAGTGGGGTTTATTTAACAAATGCGGGAAACAGAGTTTTCGGAAGCCCTAAACAAAAAGCCGCTCACCCAAGAGGTCGCTGTCCACCAACGTGGGCCTGGACCTCATGGCAGCCAGCGCACAGTGGGCCAGGACTCAACTCACCGCAGCCAGAGGCGCTCATATGAGATGACGCCGCAGCAGCCCACAGCCATAGTCTGAGGTCGGGCTGATGGACGTCACCAGACGCTGGGCCAGACAAGCCATGGAGGCAGCCGCACTAGCAGGCGGTGTCAGACAACTAACACCTCCAGAGGTGACCCAACACTGAGTGCTGTTCACCCGTCAAGAGTGCTGGACAGCACCAGCCAATAGTGCTGGTCAGCACTGGTCACCAGGAGGCAGCGATGTCAGCAACACCGTCTCAGCAGCTCTTTGTGAGGTGTTGAGCCACACCCAGAACAAGTAGCTCTTTGAGATACCAAGCCCTGAGGCCTCTGGTGCTCCTTTCAGGGGATGTCCGAGGAAGGGCAGTGGCCCCCTGGGCAGCGAAGAGCTCTCTGGCTTCTCTTTTTCCTCCAGAGGCCGGCTGCTGGATGCTTTCTTCTTCAGAGGTCAGGAACAGAGTCCTTCTGTGAAAGTCTGAGTGTCTCTCCTGAGGCCAGGAACCGAGAGTCCTCGTCAAGCACAGAGAGAGAGACAGTGATGATCCAAGTCCCAAGCTGGCTCCTGCCCCTGCCTTATCTCCTCCTTCAGAATGCCCCGTCTACAAGTCTGATGAGACCATTTTCAGCCCTGGGGCTGATTGGACTGTTTACCAGTCAGCTCATAGCTCACACCAGATTGGTCCATTCCACGATCCAGGCACCAAATCCATGGGCCTCTCTACTGCTGTAGCTGGAGGGAGCCTTGGTGCTGGAGCTGGCCCGTGGGGCCTCGTGCTCCTCCCTAAAGCCCTGAACCGGGGACTGCATGCTCAGGGGGTCGAAGCTGCCACCCGCCGTCACTGCCGGCCTTGGCCTGCCACCTGTGCCCCAGTGGGGCCTCTGGTGGTGGGTGCTAAAATGCCCACCTGCACTGCCCACAAGCAGCTTCTCAGGCCAAGTGCAGAGCCCCGAGGAGGGGAGGGGAACCCTGACTCCACCTTTGTAGGGTAGAAGGTATTTTAAATTTATTATTTTCTGCCATACATTATGTTTTGATACATGTGTATTCCAGAGCACTGTGCTTTGGAACATAGAGATAATACTTAAAATGGATTGCAAATAGTGCCTGAGGTCATTGGAAGAAGTCTTTGGCCAAAACATGTTTGTGACTCTGGGGGGTGTGTGTGTGTGTGTGTGTGTGTGTGTGTGTGTGTGTGTGTGTGTCTGTGTGTGTGTCTGTGTGTGTGTTCCTTCAGATTCTTGTGGAAAACTGGACATTGCCTGTATTTTGGATGCTGGGTTATTTTCTTCATGTTCTTCAGCTCATTTGGTTAAACTCTATTAACTGGAGTGTTTCATTTCTATTATTTCTAATTGCTGCTCGTCTTTTCCATGACTGTTAAATCACCGTCGTGTTGAAATTAACATGTAACCTACCTTCGGCTTTGTGTGGTAATACACAATTTCCTTGATGGGCCATCAGGAAGAGATGAGTGTTTGCTGGTAACTGGTGGGGATGAATGATAGAATTGGGCCCAGCTCTAAATATGCTGTGATGATCAAAATTGATGCCAGCAGCAGCTTTGTTGTCACCCATTTTGTTTTCCTATTTCAGAAGTGTGTATACTTTGTATTCCTGTAGCAATATTTGGGGATTATTGACTTAGTATGTGTCAGTGATTTTTGTATGTTTAAATTGTTAAATAATAAATTTCGATGAAATATCTTTAGATAGGAATTTTGTTTGCCTCCTTAGCCATATCCTACACATGAGAATTCCAGACTTGCCTCTGAGAAGGTGGATGACTATGAACATGTGGCAAAGTACATGAAGAACACTCAAGTAAAGTTACCCTTGGTAAGTGTTCATTTTTAAAAAGCATATTTTAATGAAAATGGGGGCAACATTCCATACATGCTGTCTGGAAACTTGGGAGATTATTTCAGTGGTTTACTGGTTCACTTTGTTCCAAATCAGATACATGTTAGTCTGTTTCCCTAAGTTAGGATGACTTTGTATTGCTACAGACTGTAGAAGAAAGTGTACTTAATGTGACCTGAGGGTGGGGGCAGTTAAGGTTGGGGGAGAAGTACTAGTCTTGGTTTCAGAGTTTGCTTGCTCTCCCATTATATCTTCACCTAGGCACTACTGACTTCCAGTGTCCCTTGGATCAAATTCAGCGCCTGGTGAACCTGGGTGGGGAAAGGTTACGTCTTCATTTGCGCTGGCTTCTACATGGAAGCTCTCAGTTTCTTTAACTTTGAATGCCAGCCCACCACTGTGACGTAGTCCTCAAGAGATTTTGCATAAGACATCTCTGGGGACAGTTTAGGCTATTGTTTACACTCATCGCTTCTTCAAAATTATGCTAATTACTGGAATTTCCACCAGGTCTCGTTAGTCAGGGTATTGCTGTATGTGTCTATTACTGTATCGAAATGGTTTCAGATCTTTTACAACTTTCAAGTATATTTAATTTCTCTTGTATGACTTAGAACTTTGTAACTCCTTGGTAAAACACAAAAATCTTATTTCCTCCAGCAGTACTGTTTGATGTTTGAAGCAAGATAGGACTTTTAATTTTTTCATTTTGCAAGTTAAAAATAAAAATGGATGCTTTTCCCAGTCGCACACACACACAGGACAGGAACACATGACTTCACACAAATTTACTGATCGCATGAAAATCGGTGGACTAATAAAACATTTGGCAAAAGTGCTAAGGAGATGGCATGAAAGGTGAATCTCACTGCTTTCTTTTACATGCTCAGATCAGTATGACATTCACAGTATTTTTTAAAACATCTGTAGTGAAGTGAGGGATGCTTGGGCAGCTCCATTGTTGAAACATAAGTATGTTTGTACTTGCGTGTTCAATCTAAAATTTTCTTTCTTTCTTCTTAATTTTAGGGAACCTTAAGTAAATCAGAATGGGAAGCTACCAGTGAGTATATCTCTTCAGTGCAGATTTATTGCTATTTTCAAAAAGTGATCAGTAAAATCTGAAATGAGAAATTTTCTAACAGGTTAAGGCGTGTGTGCACTTGTGTGTGTGTGTGTGTGCGTGTGCGTGTGTGTGTGTTTTCATATTTTCACATAGCTGCCCCATTCTTGCACTGTTGCTTAGGACCAAGAGGAAGATATATGCAGGGTGTTGCCTAATGTAAACTTTCACAAGCATGCTCAGATGCTTTTCTGCCTACTCGTTACCACATAACCATCTGTATCGGTTGTCTTTACCTCAGCTGCCTATTGGACATTTCGGCTTGTAGAACACTGCCATGTATTTTATTTGATTCTGGTCACTGCGGTGTGGTCAGTGAAGGCACGATAAGTAATAGAACCTTGAGTGAAGCGTAGTGAGCAGGGTATTTTAGAGGACTGGGGACGGGCATCATCCAGGGACATTCTGAAGCGAGGCCCCTGTCTCTGAAAGGGAACTCCAAGGCCTGGTGGATCTGTGAACTCCCATGGTTCTTCAACAGAAGTCACTGTCCAGAGCCTCACTCTTATCATGTTGTGTGGTTGCCCTGAAGACTTAGAAGGTAGTTCCCACCGTTCGTTTAAATGTCTGTTGATTATGTTGAAGGCACAGGTGGTCAGAGAGAATCCATTCCATAGACGTTTGAGCGTTGCTGTACGTTAACGGTCTGCGAAAGGGTGTTGGGGGCGCAAAAACGAGTGCGCGAGTTACTAGAGCTGTCTTGCAGAAGTGTGCTGTGTAATGCACACGTCTGCACTAATGCACAATTAAGTGCACTACAAGGCAAGCTGTTTTAAGGAAAGGAGGAGCGATTAATGAATTGCAGTGCTGATGACTGGATCACCTTGCCTGTTTTTCGTCTATCTGATCTACCTGCTGCAGTGCCAGCCATATTTCATTTCTCCTCAGAGAAATTGGAAACTAGTAGATAAAGGGGCATGACCAAAGTAGACTTTGAAATGGCTGGTGGTGTACTCCTATGCTGGTTGGGTTGGAAGAGTAGAGAGCCTCGAGGACTGGGAGGCTGTTAGGTGATCTGTGTTGTTCAGCTGTCTGTCCCTCGTTGAGAAATGAACTCAAGGAGTGAAGACTCGGGGCCTGTTACCCTGACTTGCTAGTTGAATGCCCTGGTGCATGCCCGGAACATCTGTGTGATGTTTCGATGATTTGTCATCTTTGCGGGTGCTTTCTGACCATAAAAATCTATCTGTATCTCGTTTGAAGACATAACGTGTTTGAACTAGAGTGTGATTCAGAATGAGGAGCCACGATGCTTTTAGATGTCTTTTTGAGTCAAAGCAGGAAGCCTTGTTTAAGGGAGCATGCTCTTGGGGCTGGCTGCATGCAGGAATATCGCTGTTGGGGCCAGATAAATCAAACCCTCCAGCACTACAGTTGGATAAGTGGGTGAATGTTGGTGTGCATGTTATGCATGTTCCTTTTAATTCTTAGCGGTAGGTTTTTTGTTTTCCTTTCCTTAGAGAAAACTGAGTAACGCTGTCATTAGTACTCGTAGGGGTGTAGTTGTTATACCTGTCTACCTCACACCAGGTAAAAAGAAGTTAGTCGTGCACTTTTTTTTAGTTTTGATTTTCTTTGCTTTCCTTACCTTCCACTGTTTCAGAGATTTTGAGAGCTGTCGAATTTGTTTTCTCAAGGGCAGTGGTACCACCGGGTATTAGAGTACGCGGGTATTTGCTTCTAAGTAAGCACATGTACGTGATCCCGTATCTGCTTAAATGTGATGCAGCATAATGGAGAAACTCTTGGAAATAATGGGACTGTTGCTCTTTAGAAGCCGCTAAGACTTTTTTGACCACATTGGGTCCAGGACCAAGACTGTTGTTCTGTTTGCCCTGAGGATATGAGAAACCAAACTCTGACTTATATTTATTCTCTTTTTTAGGTATTTACGTGGTGTTTGCATTTGAGAAGCAGCCGTAAGCACGTGTGCAGTAGCATCAGAACAGCTGTTGCATCCTTACGCAGTTGTGGATGATCCATCTGAGATAGACTGGACAACTTTCCGTTTGCTGCTTTTCATTTCTAAATGTGCAGAATGCTGCCTGGAAACTCCAGCGGATAAATTTGACCCTGCCGTCTGTGACAGATGAACATTTGTGTGTGTGTGTGTGTGTGTGTGTGTGCGCGCGTGTGTATGAGTGGGGACCTTTACAAATCTTACTTGTACGTAATGTCCTCAGGAGTCCATTTGCCTGTACTGTCTTAGCTCATCAAAATTGTAATAGTACATGTAAGAGCTGCTGACATCGTTCCACGGTGCTCTGATTTCCTCACTGTTTCTTTACGGTATTAAAGTTATTGCAGTGGTGGAATTGATGAGGGAACACACTGGTTTGGGTGTGGGTGGGGTGCGGTGTGACCATTTCTGTATTTTTGTTATTATATATAATGTTTTTCGAGATCAAGTGGATAGCATTCTGTGCAGGCTAATGTACGTCTTCAATATGTGTTGCTGAGTTGTGGTTAAAACAATTTTGGGCTGTCATAAAAGTCACTTACCTTGGAATTTCAGCCAGTTGTGACTAGTCATTATAAATAGCAACTGCCTTATTTGCTGGTATGATGCAATTCTGGAACTAAATAGAACTTTTTAGATCACAGCATATAATCTTGTGGGTTGGGGGGTGGGGGGGGCGCGAGAAGGGCTTCTCTCATACGATATCCCAAAAGATTTATATTTCCAAGTGTGAAGACTGATTTGTGTTACTTATCTTCATTGAACAAAACTGCTGTACTTCTCCTCGATGTTAGATCCAGGTTCCTGATGCTACGTCCTTCTAGATCCGTTGCCCCATGCAGCCCAGAAAGAAGCCCTGCCTGTCCCTCTGTTTCAAGGGGGTCCTTTTCACAGTAGGAGCGGGCATCTCATCCCCATTCAGAATTTGTAATTGTCGTATCAGAACTGTTGGAGTACTTCAGCCCTGGCTCCTTGCTTGATGGCATTTCCACAGCTGCCCCCCGGGGAAACTGTTGTCCTTACTTGCATCTCTGTATGGAAAGGACACCTGCCCTATGATAGGTGTGAAATACTTACAGGCGATTATTGCATTATGTTTTTTAGAAGTCACTTAATTATGTAATGCATGGCTTAAAAAGACATTACCTTCTATGATTATCTATCGTGCTGGTTAAAAAAGCAGTTTAGTCTCCATTTATTTGTATAGGTTGATCGTTCAGTGTTAGAGTAGCAGATCTTTTATCAAGGGAACTCAGTTTACCTAATTTCCGTTGCTTTTACAATCTCCATCTCCAAACTGTTTCCAGTTTGCAAAACTTGAGTGCTTTGCCTTAGTGGTGCTTTGACCTAAAGTCACTTGGGGGAGTTTAACAGTAGTACATCTGACTAAGGTGGCTGCCATTATCTTGCTAAGGGTTGAGCAGCCGTGCTGGGGGAGGTGGGAGTGGAGAGCCCTTAGGATTACATGATGGAAGTGCATTTCACTTCTGGGGGAACTACCAAAAAATATCTGCGTAGGGCAGAGTGTGGAAAGCTTCCGATGGCGTCTTAATCCTAAATAAGTGATCAAACTGTTTTTAGCTTCCTTTGCCCTGTCCACTCCGTGGATGATGGGAGTGATGTGGAGGGATGAATCCCCCCAAGGGATGGTGTGAGCAAGCTTGCTGGTGATAGCAAGCAGAGAGAAAAGAAAGGTGGAGTCCCCAGGGCTTTCAGTGTGTAGACAGGAACACACGTTCTGTGTGGGGAGGGAGATAGGTGAGGTGGCGAGGTGCTTCTGCCACTTGCCTTTTGCCTTGCGCTTTGCTGGCCTTGCCTTTGTTGTTCTTCCCTCCGCTCCCAGATGTCTCCTGTCTCCAGCGGCAATGAAGTGTCCAGGTAGTGACTAGGGAAGAACTGTTTGGCAACGGCAGCCTCTGCCCCCATCTCCCATCAGCAAGGGAGGACTTGTTGGTAGGACATCCCCTATGTCCAGTCCCCTGCCCCTCCCCCAACACTCCCGGCAGTCTAAGCATTGGAGGGATTTTCCAGGCGAGACTGGTAGCTGCTAAGAGAGGGACGTGACTGTTCACTCCTGGGGCAGTGATGTAAGCAGATCCTGGCAGTGAACGCAGGACGCTCCCAGACCTGCCCTTCAATTTGTCCTCTACGAGTGTCAGGTAGAACTGAAGATCAGATCAGCCGTTTGTGGAAAAGACAGCCTGAGATCAGTGTGATTGATCTGGGAACATGGCTGGATTGTGGCAGAACTGAGAATTCCCCATTGAATTCGGGCCTACTGTTATGCCGAAAGGAAAGGTGCCCGTAGCCTGTGCGTTCGTGGAAAGAAACTGGCCATTTCCACACCTCACCCTCACCTGCAGACCAGCCAGGGTGTGACTGCTCCTCCACCTGCCTCTACTTGTAGCCTGACTCCCCCCCCCCCCCCCCCGCAGAAACTTGCCTTCAGGGAGAAAAAGGATTGCCTCGAGAACTAATCTGTTTACTGACTGAAAGGTAGGTATCGGGCACAGAGTTTCCTAACCTACCTCCTCCCCAGACCTGTGATGTGAGGAAGTAGGATTGTCCCCTACATGGGTGCTAACAGAGCCTCGGAGCAGAGGTGTGCAGCGTGGGCCCGGCTGTGAGGCAGGGCGCGATGCTGATCAGCCCTGGGAAAGCAGCACGGCGTTGGCAGCTCCCAGGTGGCCAGGTCTCCAGTCCCACCCACTGAACTCTTCTGGGGATTCATCCTCCTTTCTGTCCCAGCCCGCTGACTTCATGTCCTTCAGGTATGTCTTCAGGTATCCTCCTGGTGAAGATTCGGCTACTTGGGTAGGTCTGCCTCCTTGGAGAATACGCCGGTGTGAATATTCTAGCGGTTGAACATCGGTTTTTCCTCTTTGTTGATAAACCACTTATTGCCGTCAGTCTGAGACTTTGTGTCTTGAGCCAGTCACAGTCAAGGTCTCAAGGGCTCCAAGGTAGAGACCAGGGCCCTATAATAGGAGTTATACCCCAGTGGTTGTGGGGTTTCCTGGCCATTTGGTCAAATAGGAAGTGTGGGTGTGTGATGTTACCACCTCCCTACTTGCTGTTAGGTCAGCTACTACATGCCTGGGAGGTGTCTTCCTTCTTGCCCTCTGGCAGCAGCAGACCCGATTCTTCAAAGTCTTTCAGGGAGGTGGCTGGCGACTGCTCTCATTTATTCAGTGATAAACTTACTTAGCAGATGTGCTGGGGCTGGGGGACAGCCAGCTCTTCTCCATCTCACATCCTTGTAGATCTCTCCTCTGCTCCCCTTTACCCCTGAAGGGGGTGTCCCTGGTCCCCGCTGCTTTACTGACCGTGTGGGGGACAGCCCAGGAGTGCTCTGCACAGCTTGACTGTGGGGACTTTGGGATCGGCCCCAAAGCCTTCTGCATCCTGAGCCACTTTTCTGAATGTTCTAACATGTGTTGACTCACTGGGATGCTTTTTTTTTTTTTTTTTTTTTAAGCATCAGAAACATTTTATTTGCGGCTAGCCCCATTATCCTTATTTTAATGGTGAGGATAACAAGGCACAGAGTGGTTACAAGTTTGACCAAAGGGGCCCAAGATCTGAACACCCTGTTTCCCCCTCAGCCAAGTTGGGCCTGCCCTCCAATTGCATTTACCTACCACGAGGGGTGTCTGAGAGGCCCGCATGACTCCTTGCTCATTCAGTACCTGCAACTTGAAATGTTAACTTCTGTAACTCCATCCTTAAAATCAAAACTGATAGTTTACGTCCTCTGAGGAGTATTTATCCTGTGTAAGAGTTGCGTTTAGGAGGGTTAGTGTTAATTTTAGTGTTAAGGGATATGATTAAGGGAAGGGTTTATG